CCCTACACACACACACACACACACACACACACACACACACACACACACACACACACTGTAATGGAGCTAAGAGTTTGGTCTCGACTGGCAAATCTAGTCCTTAACCAATTGGTAGTAGCTGAATACGCCTGGAAAAGTCAGAGCTGCTGATGCCAAGTGAGCCTGTGGGAGCTCCGGAGGCCTGGGGCCAACACTGTCCACTGCCATCACTCAGCTCACCTGGAGGGAACGTTCTTAGGCCTCTTCCTGGGACGCCAGTTGCTCGCTGCACCCAGGGCACTCAGTTAGTGGCTCAGGAAAACTTCCATGGCTGGGGGCTGGGCGGTCTGGGGCGACCCCCCCTGCCTCCCTGAGGCTGCATCTGGGATGCCTGCGGGACCTGGTTTTCAGGGCCCCCTACCTTTTCCTCTCGTGAGACCCTGGTGCCTGCACCCGAGTCCGTCTCCTTGGGCTGCATCTCCAGAACCGTGCGGAAGAGTTTCTCCGAGGTGACGGTCAGAAAGCCGATCTCTGCGTTGGGGTGCAGGCCGTACAGATAGGGGCTCTCTGGGGGCAGGTTCTCATCGATGTATTCATGGTAACCCTGGAGAGGAGTCCATGTGAGGAAGCCCCCCTGGCCCTGAATTGAGACCTCCCATCCCATCTGGGCTGCTGTGGGCTTCCCCTCACCCCTACTGTTCCCATCCCACAGACATTCTAATAAAGCCTCCCCAGAGGTCGAATTTTGTGTCCCCTGTTCTTCATTGAAAGGGGTCCTGGCAACACTGTAGGGTAAGCACTGGACTGTTAACCACAGGGTCAGCGGTTCAAATCCACCAGCCACTCCTTGGGGAGAAAGATGAAGCTTTCTGCTCCTGTAAAGATTTACAGCCTCGGAAACCCTAACCAGGGTCCTTATGGGTTGGAACCGACTCCATGGCAATGGGTTGGGTTTTGGTCTTTCACTCAAGGAACCCTGATGGCACCGTGAGCTAGGCCTTGGGCTATTCACTGCAAGGTCAGCAGTACAAACCTACCAGCCACTCGGTGAGAGAAAGATGAATTTGTCTGCTCCCATAAAGATTGACCACCTCGGAAACCCTAGGCAAACCTCGCTAGGAGTCAGAGTCAACTCATGACAGTGGGTTTCATTGGGTTGGGCTCTTTGCTCAGGGATGAACGCTTGTCTGTCAACCGTTCATCTGCCTTCCGACTGAGATCCTATCTAATCTGCTAACAGTTCCCAAGCTGGGCCTCTCTCCTCACCTTGTAGTCCAGGTTGGGGGGTGTCTGGAAGCCAGGGGCCAGGTGCACATCACCTTCCAGCATCTCCCCCCGGAGGTACTCTGCCAGGTATGTCCTGCACAGCCGGCGGTCCCAGTCATCGGTGATGTGACCACCATACATGATCTCACCAAACAGATATCGGAGGTCGTCCCAGGGCACCTGCGGGGGCGGGGAGCTGTTGAATCAGAGCCACCATCAGACATGAAGTCCGTCCCCTTAGTCTCAGGGACTGAGATTCAAAATGTTCCTCTTGAAACTCTCATTTCTTGTCTTGAAAACGGTTTTTCTTTACTTGCTTGTTTGGATTCTTGGGGTGGTGCTGTATGATAAGCACTCCACTACCAGGTGGGTTTGAACCGCACAGTTGACCATCGAGTTGGTTCTGACTCACAGTGACCCTGCATTTCCAAGGAGCGGCTGGTGGGCTTGAACTGGTGACCTTGTGGTTTGCACTCCAGTGCTCATCCTGTGGAGCCACCGCACTGCCCCTTGTACTGTTGTTAGGCGCCAATGAGTCGGCAGCAACTCAGCAACCCTCCGCACAACATCACGCCCCCACCTGGTCCCTCACCACCCTTAGTCACTGCTACGTCTGAGCTTTGCCTGGCATGAGCAGGACACCATACTCGGATAACAATGGGCTCATAGCGATTCTCTTTCTGTTTTTTTTTCCAGATTTCCTTTGCTTTATGAATGTCTTTAATGCCTTTTAAACACATGACAAGGAACGACGTAAGAGACAGTTAAAGAGAGAAAGACGAGAAGGAAGGCAGAGAGGCGGAGAGAAGACAGGAGGTAGGGAAGGGAAGGGGAGAGGAAAGGACAGGTGGACCCTGACTTACAGCCTCTGTAGGACAGAGTAGAGCTGCCCCATGGGGTCTCTAAGGCTGTGGGTCCTTACAGGAGTAAGGACTGTCTCATCTTTCTCACGGGGAGCGGCTCTGGGCTTTGAACCTTGAGCTTGTGGTTCGCAGCTGAGTACTGAAACACCGCATCACCAGGGGGGGAGGGAGAGTTACATCAGTCCCTGATTTGGCGCCTCACCTTGGTGTTGGCCTCCAGGTAATTATAAAGCACATTGATAGAGATGGTGAGGTCCCCGTTGTTGAAAGGGTAGGATCTGTTCCAGCCCTGGGCCCCGAATTTGCGTCTCTCCGCCACCACGGCGTGGAAGTAGCACAGGGCAAACAAGATGCTCTTGAACTCCATCTCTTTGGTGCACATCTCCAGGGTGTCCTGGGGGTGGAGGGCAGGGGCACATGGATCGGTGGGCAAGGAGAGCCTCACACAGAAACTCGACCTTGGGGGGGGGGGCCTGGCTGGGGGAACTGAAGCGGCGGCGAAGATACCTGCCCTATCTGTGTTACTTTCGGAAACACAGTCTTAGCGCTTGTAAGTATTCACTGCACGTCAAGTGACGTAGCCTGGTACCTCGGCAGGTAAGCTCTCACTGCTAACTCAAAGACCAGGGGTTTGAACTCACCAGCAGCTCTGAGGGAGCAAAGACCAGGACTGTTGCTCCAATAAAGGTGACCGTTTGGAAAACCCTATGGGGCAGTTCTACTTTGTTACATGGGTGGCAAGAGTCACAGGTCTACTGTGGATATCCAACAACGAAGTCATTTGATGTAGGTTGCTGTAAAGTGTCGCCAAGTCAAGTCGGTTCTGATTCATAGTGATCCTGTATAGGGTTTCTGAAGAGTGGCTGGTGGGATTGAACCACCGACTTTGAGGTTCAAACAACCTTGTGGTCCTACAGCATCACACATAATAAAATACTCCCTAGTTCAGGGCAAGTACTCCCTATTTAAGGAGAAATAAAGATCTTTTGTGATTTTCCACATTGTCTCCTGTCATCTACATACTAACATTAACCACCCTGTAACCCAGGGATGGGGAACCGTTTTTCTGCCAAGGGCCATTTGGATATTTGTAACATTATTCACAGGCCATACAAAATTATCAACTTAGAAATTTGTTGTTGTTGTTAGGTGCCATTGAGTCGGTACCGACTCACAGCAACCCCATCTATGCACGACAAACCGAAACACTGCCCAGTTCTGTGCTATCCTCACAATCCTTGCCATGCTTGAGCTCACGGCTGCTGCCACTGTTCCAATCCATCTCGTTGGGGGGTCTTTCTCTTTTTCTCCGACCCTCCACTTTACCAAGTGTGATATCCTCCAGTGACTGGTTCCTCCTGACAGTATGTCCGAAGTGTGAGAGACAGTCTGTAAAGTGATGGCTGGAACTGCGGTTGCCTTGGAAAGGGCCAGACCAAAGGATGTCTCCACACCAGCCCTGATCCTTTGAAAGCCATCGGTAATGTCTTCCTATAAGGGGTGAAGGGGCCCTGGCCAAGCTGTGGGATCGGCGCTGGGCTGCTAACAGCAACGTTGGAACTTCAAACCCACCAGCTGCTCCGGACAGAAACATGATCTTGTCTGCTCTCATGAAGATTTACAGTCTTGGAAACCCTATGAAAGGTCGCTCTGAGTGGGGATCGACTCGATGGCGGTGGGTTTTGTGGTCCCTATAAGAGGTTCAATGGGCACAAGGAAGGCAAACCCAGACCCAATTCAGAATCTAGGCCTCTCTCTAGGTTTGTGAGATTCCTCTGCGTTCATCTTTTCAGTGGTAGAGCCCTTCCTTCCACATAGGAGCTGCTGTGAGGCACTGCCCAGTGAGTTCTGACCCACGTTGACCCTGTGCACAACAGAACAAAACACTGCCCGGTCCCGTGCCAGCCTCACAATTGTTACGTTTGTGCCAATCCATCTCATTGGGGGTCTTCCTCTCTCTCTCTCTCTCTCTCTCTCTCTCACCTTCCACTTTTCCAAGCATGAGGTCCTCCTCCAGGTACTGGATCCTCCTGAAAACATGTCCAAAGACAAAGTCTCACCATCCTGGCTTCTGAGGAGCGCTCTGCCTGCACTTTTTCCAACACAGATTACTTTGTTCTTTTGGCCAATCCATGGTACTTTCGATAGATACTCTTCGCTCAAGATTCAAATGCACTGATTCTTCTGTGGTCTTTCTTCTTCATTCATTGTCCGTCTTTCACATACATATGAGGCAACTGAAAACAATCATGGCTTGGATCAAGCTCACCTCAGTCCTCAAAGTGACATCTTTAAGAAAAGGTCTTTTGCCACAGATTTGCCCAGTGCAATAATACATTGTTTAATTTCTTGACTGCTGCTTCCATGAGCATTGATTGTGGATCCGAGCAAAATCAAGTCTTTGAGAACCTCAATCTTTTCTCCATTTATTATGCTATTATTTATTGATCCAGCTGTGAGGATTTTTGTTTTCTTTACATTAAGGTACTGTACCTACTGAAGGCTGTGCCCTTTGATCTTCCTCAGCAAGCAAAGTTGTGTCAGCTACATAAGGTAGGCTGTTAATGAGTCTTCTTTCGATCCTGATGTCATGTTTTTCTTCATAAGTCCAGCTTCTCAGCATACAGATCAAAGTGGAGTCCCGGTGTGGCACTGTGGGCTAATGCGGTGGACTGCAGAGTCAGTTAGAACTGCAAGATCGGTGGTTCAAGTTCACCGACTGCTCCTATACAGGGTCGCTATAAGTTGGAACGGACTCAACGGCACTTAACAATAACAACTGCAGATCAAATAAGTATGATGGATGATCCAACCCTGGCTTACACCTTTCCTAATTTTAAATCATTCAGTATTCCCTTGTTCTGTTCTACTGACTGCCTCTTGGTCTATGTGTAGGCTCCTCAGGAGCATAGGTAGGTGTGTTCTGGAATATCATTCTTTACAATGTTATCTATAGTTTGTTATAACCCACACAGTCGAATGCCTTTGCATAGTCAGTAAAGCACAGGTAAACATCTTTCTGGTATTCTCTGCTTTCAGCCAAGATCCATCTGATGTCGGCAATGATGTCCCTCATTTCACGTCCTTTTCTGAACTCAGCTTGCATTTCTGGCAGCTCCCTGTCCATGTACTGCTGGCATTTGTTTTTAAATCATCTCCAGAAAAATTTCAGTTGCATGTACTATTACTGATATTTATTGTTCAATGGTTTCTCATCCCATCGATTGGCCAGGAGACCATCTTCCAGATTTCTTGACAGAGATGAGTGAGCCTCTTGATGATGCATCTGTTTGTCGAAACAGTCCAATTTGTAGTCTGTCAATTTCCGGAGCTTTGCTTTTCACCAATACCTTCTGTGCTGCTTGGATGTCTTTTAACACCATTGGGTCTTGATCATGTGGTCTTGATCATGTGCTATCTCTTGAAATGAACCAGTTCTTTTGAGTACAATGACTCTGTGTATCCCTTCAATCTTTTTATTGATGTTTTCAGCATCAATTAATATTTTGTCCAGAGTTGTTGTTAACTCATAGTGACCAACTCATAGTGACCCCATATACGGTTTCCAAAGCTGTAAGGTGCGCCTGACCCAAGCCATGGTATTTTCAATAACCTCATATGCATGCGAAAGCTGGACAGTGAATAAGGAAGACCGTAGAAGCACTGATGCTTTTGAGTTATGGTGTTGGAGGAGAATATTGAAAGTGTCATGGGCTGCCCAAAGAACCAACAGATCTGTGTTGGAAGAAGTGCAGCCAGAGTGCAGCTTGGAGGCCAAGATGGCTAAACTTCATGTCTCATACTTCGGACATATTGTCAGGAGGGACCAGTCACTGGAGAAGGATATCATGTTTGGTAAGGTGGAGGGTCAGAGAAAAAGAGGAAGACTCCCAACGAGATGGATTGGCCAAGTGGCAGCATCAATGGGCTCAAGCGTGGCAACATTTGTGAGGTTGGCCCAGGACCAGGCCGTGTTTCGTTCTGTTGTGTACAGGGTTGCTATGAGTCAGTACCAACTTGATGGGACCCAACAACACACAACCGAGGCTTCAATCTTGTTGTCATTTCCCCTAGCTTGAGAAATGCTGAGCGTGCGCTTCCATTTTTGGTTTTTAACTTCAGGTCTTTGCACATTGCATTATACTATTTAACTCTGTCCCCGAGAGCTGCCCTTTGAAATTCTCTGTTCAGTTCTTTTACTTCCTTTATTTTTTCCATTTGCTTTACTTCTCTATTCTCAAGAGCAAGTTTCAGAGTCTCTTCTGACATCCACTTTGATCTTCCCTTTTTTTCTCCCTGTCTTTTTTTAATGACCTTTTGCTTTCTTCCTGAATGATAACTGTTGATGCCATCCCACAACCCTCCTGGTCTGTGGGCAACAGTGTCCAATGCGTCAAATCTATTTTTGAGACGGTCTCGAAATTCAGGTGGGATGTGGCTCTCATGGACTTGTTTTCATTTTCTTCAGTTTCAACCTGAACTTACTTAGGAGCAATTGTCGGTCTCCATGCAGGGACCAGGGTTCAATTCCCAGCCAATGCATTTACTGTACAGCCAGTCCGCCCCCATCTGCCAGTGGAGGCATGCATGGTGCTAGAGCGCTGTGATAGTTCAGTTTTCGTGTCAATTTGAGGGGCCAGGGTTCTCAGCGATTTGTCAGTTGCTCTATAGTGATCCATAACGTTGAGACAAAACACAATGTAATTTAACCACAAGATGATGTCAGCTATGGGCAGCCAATGAATTGAAAGGAAGTTTCCTCGGGGATGTGGTCTGCTTCTAAGATATGGGACACTCCAGCGAAGCTTGCTTGCTCTCATGGGTCTGGGTCTTGCATCTGGCACATCCTCCGATCTCTGGTTGTCCAGACTTGAGCCAGTGGCCTGCTTTGTTACCTGCTGATCCTGGGAGCCGTCAGCAGCCTCCTGCCTGACATCTGACCTGCGGACTTGAGCCTGGCCCAGCTCTACAACTGTGTGAGCCATTTTCATGGTATAAACCTGTGGGTTAATGTGCTGAACCAAAAAGTTGGCTGTTCAAGTTCACCAGCCACTCCTTGGAAACCCTATGAGTTGGAACCAACTCAACAGTGCTTGACAACAACAACATATATACAGAAAGAGTCCTGGTGTGGCACTGTGAGGTAAGCACTGGACCGCAAGGTCGGTTTTAATTGCAAGGTTGGTGGTTCAAATCCACTAGCTGCTCCTTGGAAAACCTATACAGGGTCACTATGAGTTGGAATACACTCAATGGCAAAAACAACATATATACACACACACATATATATTACATGTTATATATATATTACATATATATATATATTTACATAGAGATTCCTGGTGTGGTGCTGTAGGATTAGCACAAGACTATGAACCACAAGATCAGTGGTTCAAACCCACTAGCTGCTCCTTGGGAACCCTATATAGTGTCACTATGAGTTGGAACCAACTTGACAGCACTTAACAACTATATATATACATACATATATTTATATATATAAATTTTGGGGCCCTGGTGTGGTACTGTAGGATAAACACTGGACTGCTACCTGCAAGTTGGCGGTTCAAACTCACCAGCCACTTCTCGGAAACCTTATACAGGATTGCTATGAGTCAGAACCAACTTGATAGTACTTCACGACATGAACATATAAGCTCCATTGGCTTTGCTTCTCTATAGAAGCCAGACACAGACAGATGCTGACCAGGTTTCACAGGAGCTTCTGGACTAAGAATAGCAAGAAAGGCCTGGTAATCTACATCCAAAACTGGGTCAGTGAAAATCGGTGGATCACAGCCCCACCGTGATGCGGATGGTGGAGCATCAGGCAGTGGTCCGTTTGGTTGTGCACGGGGTCCCTGTGAGCAAGGGGCCGAGCCTACGGCAGCTACGACAACAAACCTTTGTACAGCGCAGGGGGAACAGCGCTCCTGAACTCACAGAGCCCTTTGATAAAAGTTGGATTTTCCCCGAGCCCTTTGTTAACACAGACTACCACCCTCTTATGTTCTGGAAATGGCAGTGTTTCCTGCAAGTGGCGGACCCAGAAGGAAGTATTTACTTGGAATAACTCTGTTTCCCCTCCAGGTGGACATTGGAGCAGCCCCTCTCCTCCTCCTTAATTTTTCAGAGGCTCTAGGTTCTCAGGGGCAGGGTGCAGATACCATTCTGGGGGTCCCTCCCTGTGCTCCTCTCCCTGCTCCCCGTAACCTCCTGTGGAATAGAAATTTTCTGAGCCACACCACACACTCTCAGGTGCAATTTCTACCCCTGAGCCTTCTGGAAAGATCTACTGGAGGCTGAGAGGAAGCTGGGCCCTGCTGCCTGCCTCATGTGGGAAAATGAGACCTTGTCCCAGGAGAAGAGGCGGCAACTGGACCCCAACCCAGCCTCCACTCCTGGGGACAGACGCTCCTGGGGAGTGGCCGTCTCTTGGTCCCCCTTTGTCCTCTGAAGCTGACGGTTTTATCCTTCGCATTTGCCTCCCTGGCTGCAGCCCTCAACAGGAAGTACAGCTGTGGTGTTAGCCTCCACCGTTGGTACTCGCTTTCCAGCCCAGGACCAGGTCCCCACCCAATCACCAGCCCCTTCCATGGACCCCTGTCTGCAAGTGGCAAATGAGATGAGACACAGAGGGGAGGACACAGCGACACCAAACCGCCACTCAACTGACTCAACATCTCCCGCAGGTCTCTGGGTGGCCTCACCCTACCTGCGTGAAGAGGTCCAGGGCCTTGTGCAGGTTGGCGTGCATCCCGGTGGGCGGCTCGTTGGTGATCTTGATGGCGTTTTCCAGGATGCCCTGGGGGATGATGTGGGACTCGGGGCTGGGGGCTGGCTCAGCGCTGATGAATACCCGGTAGTCCTCGTGGCTCCCCAGGCTGTACCTCTCCACCTTCTTGTCCAGTGTGCTCAGCCAGCGCGCCACCAGGTGGATGTTCTGTGGACAAGACCAGGGTGCCCACTGCCACTGCGTCCACGCCTGCACCCTCCGCTCGCCCCCCTCACCTCCCACCCTCGCCAGGACACTGGGCTGTGCTAGGGTCATTCCAGCTCCACAGCCAACACCCCAGAGACGATTCCTGCCCCAAACCAGTCACACCCTCCAGCCTCAGGGTTGTGAACCTCTTGGGTGTTAGGATGCCCTGACCCCCACCCCCGAGCAGCGCCTCTTCTGAGGGACTTGGGTGCCAAGGAAATGACTGGAAGCGGAGGTTTCTCCAGTGGGACCAGACTGGACACTAGATGGAGGCCCTCACCAAGCGCAGGGTCTGTGGAAGCCGGGGCAGGGCTGGAAGGGGATGTGGGGACAAGTCCAAGGGGCCCAGGGAGGCCCTCAGGTGGAGGACTGGCGGTCCAGCTATGATTTAACCAAACGTGGAGAGCAGGTGTCCTCACGGCCCTGGCTACTCCCCGTGGGGGTGGTGAGAAGTGATTCGTCTGTGGGTCCAGAGTTGTGGTCTCCTTAATGGTTTGTCTTTACACGATAAAGTTGGTGCCCCTCTCCACACTGTACACTCAGGCCAATGAGGAGCGGGTAGACATGTGACTGTCACCCCCCTCCCACTCTGAGAGGCGGTGGGATTCTTGTCCACGACATCAGATGTCCGTCCCTGCCCTGGTTCATTCAGTGAGTCGGCTGGGCCAGAGTCTGGTTCCCAGTGGTCTGGTCCAGCTCTAGACGAGGTGTTGTCCCTAGTGTTGTCTGGATCCATGCAACGTCATCATCATCCATAATGTCATCTGTCAACCCATCAGGTGAAAGGGGAACTCCTTAGCGTGTGGTCTGCCTCCAGATGACAGGTGGACACGCTGGCGGAACTCTTCCTCCACTCTGAACCCTTCCTGACGTCTGACCACAGATCTTGGGGACAAGAACCTGCAGGGGTCACCAGCTTGACCCAGGACCTTGCATTTGACTGGGGACTTGTTAGCCCCCACAGCTGTGTGAGCTGACCCCTTTATGTACATTAGGAGTTCTGGAGGCATAGTGGGTTACGTGTTGGACTGCTAACTGCAAGGCTAGCAGTTTGAAGCCACCAGATGCTTTAGGGGGGAAAGGATTTCCAGCTTCAGAAACCCTGTAAAGGGTACCCTCACTATGAGCTGGAACCCACTCCACGGCACATCACCACCACCACCACTTGTATGGACTCACCGGTTCTGTTTCTCCAGAGACCAGTACAGACCTGTAGCCTCCTACCTGCAGAATGACCCAGTGCCCGTTCTCTGCGGCCACATCCAACGCATTCTCGGCCACCACCTCCTGCCCCTGGCCCAGGGACACGTTGTGGAGTTTCCCATTGTCTATGGTAAAGCCTAGTTTTTTCCCTTAAGAGGAAGAAAACCCCGGATAAATGTTGGGCTGATGAAATGCCTGGACCTGCACGCAGCCCAGGGACCCCACCTGAGCTGTGTGTTTTGTTAACTTGTGAATCAGATGAAGAGCAAATCTGTTTTACATCCAACAATTCATACACGCTTCGCTCATGCTCTGTATTTTTCCCCGTTGTGTTAGCAATGATAGAAACTAATCATTTCTATAATTCAGTGACATTTAGTATGCAACACCGGGCAGACTCTCCTAGTTTCAGAATATCTCCATCATTCCCAAAGGAAACCCCATGTCCGATTAAACGGTGGCTCCCCATTCTCCTTGCCCCCAGCCCCCGGCAACCACTCATCATCTGCTTTCTGTCTCTGGATTTTCCTATTCTGGGCATTTCATAGAAATGGATTCATTTACAAATATGCGACGCTTCCGGTTTGACTGTGTTCACTCAGCATCATGCTTTCAAGGTCTGTATATTGTGTTAGGAGTCCTGGTGTGGTGCTGTAGGACAAGCACTGGACTGCTAACCGCAAAGCTGGTGGTTCAAACCCACCAGCCGCTCCTCAGAAATCCTACACAAGATCACTGAGTCGGGACCTAGTACAGTGTTGTATTAGGGTTTCATCCTTTTCACGGCTGCATAGTATTCCATGGTCTGGAGGGACCACGCTGTGTTTATCTTTTCTTCTGTTGATGTTGGGTTGGTTCCACCTCTGTGTATACAAGTCTCCGTTTGAGACCCTGCTTTTACGTTTTGGGGATGGAGTTGCAGGGTTGTGTAGAAGTGCCATGTCTTACTTTTTGAGGCCCTACCACAGAGGCTACACCGTCTTAACATCCTCACTAGCAACACAAGGGTTTCCAGACCCACCAGGTCTTTGTCAACACTTGGTATTGTCTGTTTCCGAATGCACAGCATCTTGGGGGCGGGGAGCGGTTCATTTGCATTTCTCCGATGACTCATGAGGAGCCATGGTGGTGCAGGGGTCAAGTGCTTGGCTGTGAAACTAAAGTTGGGCTGTTCAACCCCATCAGCTGCTCTGAGGGAGAAAGGTGTCGTGGTCTGCTTCTGTAAAGCTGACGGCCTCGGGGACCCTCTGGGACAGTCCTACTCTGTCCTGTACAGTCGCTAGGAGTCAGAACCGACTTGATGAGAGGTTTGGGTCTGGGCCCGATTTTGAGAAGCGCCTCTTGCCAGCTTCACTTACCTAGAGCTTCCACATCTTTCAGGGGGTCAACGCCTGGGGAGAGGATGAAGAAGATTGGAGTGGAGGGACTGCTCTCCTCGTAGGACTTGGAGAACTCCACGCTCCGGCCCTCCACGAACTTGCTGCCCATCTTCTCCTCCACGAAGTTCCTGGGGAGACGTTCCAGGTCAGGGCTGTACCCCAGGTGGAAGGGCCCTTTTCCTGGTAGCTCTTCTCAGCAGAGGGAGGTCTCTGGCAGGAAACCCAGCTGTTTACAGAGGCTCTTCCTTCTGCTGGGAAAGGGGTGCCGGGGTGGATGGAGTTCCTGTCCTGGTTTTAATAGTTATGGGGACACTTTGCATCCACCCTGGAAGGAGTGCTTCCTTCAAATGCGCATGCTGTCGGAAGCAAGCTCAATGACTTTACATTACCCAGTTTTCAAAGGCACTCAAAGTCAACTGGGAGAGTGGGCAAGGGGCCCAGGGGGCCGGACAGGGTGACCAGGTCCTGGTACCAGGTGAGCCATGGACCCTTAGACGCCCTCCAGTGAGCCCAGGTTTTAACAATTCCCTATTTCCCATCTGTCTCCTTCCCAGTGTAGAGAAGAGGTCATCTTGATTTCAAACACAGTCCAAGTGAGCAGGAGATGAACATCCGTCCCCCTGTCCACCCTCTGAGACACCGAGGACATGTGAGAGCTCAGGACTGAAGAGCTAACCGGGCTGCAGAATGTGGATAACTGGAGTGTACCTGCAGGCTGGCCAATGCCCCATCTGTGTCATTTCCTGGGTGGAGGGGACGCTGCTGGCACTCACTTGACAGCGTAGGTCATGCGGTCCGGCCGCATGCAGCGCACCATGCAGAGCTTCTGCAAGGCCGTCTTGTTCTTCCACTCCTTGGGGAAGATCTCTTTCTCCGGGGCTTCCGACTCCACCAGCTTCTTCCACCGCTTGGCTGAGCCCTCGATATCGCTGTCCAGGTTTTTGAATTCGTCCATTTCCGAGAGGGCCTGGGAACATACATGACAGTCCACTTGGCCCTTGAGGTTCTGCCCAAGTTCCAGGAGAAGAGGTCATTGGTGGAAGGGACCAGGGCACTGGGTGAGAGTGACGGAGCTGCCCAAAAGACTGTCGGGCACACCACGAAGACGGCAGCCAGCCTCGGGGGAAGAACTCAACCTAGGGACCTGACCTCATCTTCCATGTGGACAGCTTATTGAGTCCTGGGGATTCCTGGTGTGGCGATGTGGAATAAAGCACTGAGCCAGAAGGTCAGTTTGAACTACAAGGTTGGCGGTTCAAACTCACCAGCACTTCTCGGAAACTCTATACAGGGTCGCTATGAATTGGAACTGACTCCACAGCATTTAACAACAACAACACCAACAACATTGAGCCCTGGAGTGGTGCTGCAGAATAAGTAAGTACTGGACTGCTAACCACAAGGTCAGCAGTTCAAATCCACCAGCTGCTCCTCAGGCACCCTAAACAGGGTCGCTATGAGTCGGAACCAATCAATGGCACTTAACAACAACAACAACATTAAGGAGCCAAGGAGCCCTGGTGGTGTAGTGGGTTAAGTGTTGGGCTGCTAACCTCTGGGTTGGTGGTTCAAATCCACCAGTGGCCCGTGGGAGAGCGTTGAGGCTGTCTGCTGGTGTAGAATTTAGTCTTGTTGTTGTTTTGCACTGGTGAGTCGGTTCTGACTTATAATGACCTATATATGGTTTCTGAGAGCGGCTGGTGGGTTTGAACTGTCAACCTTGAGGTTACCAGTCCAGTGCTTACCCTACAGTGCCACACCAGGGCTCAGTGTTGGAAACTATAGACAGGGTTGCTATGTGTTGGAACAGACTTGAAGAGAACAACATGATGAAGGTTCTTTGATGGTTAAGCACCGGGCTGTTAACCCCAAGGTTGGTGGTTCAAACCCACCAGCTGTTCTATGGGGGAAAGGATGGGTTTGTGTGTCTCTGTGAAGATTTCCAGTCTTGGAAACCATATGGACAGAGTCGCTGTTAGTCAGAACCGACTGGGCGGCAGTAGGATTCTTGGTTTGATTCAGGGACTAGGCACCCTGGTGGCACCAACAGCTAAGTGCTCCACTACTGATGGAAAGGTTGCTGGTTTGAACCTACCAGGGACTTTTTGACCGGAGACAAAGGGACATTGGGACTTGAGGGGCCTTGAGTGTACAAGGGATGACTTTACTCCTTCCTGGAACTGGGAGGTGGGGGAGGAGGCTCGCTGCAGTCCCCTGAGCTGGTCTTTCAGGGGACATGACCAACGCCATATACAAGTGGGGTGGACAATAGCTTCTGGCATGGCTGCTGGGCCATCTGGTTTCCTATCCTTCTCTCTGGCCACCTGGTTGTGGGGATTTTACAGGCCCATGGTGCCTGGTGATCTGGCCTCGTAAACATCCTCCGTGCTAGCAGGAAAGGCTTTGCGAAGGGAAGAAAGTACATCTGATACCAACCTTGATGCCGCCCCACCCCTGGTTCAACAGGAAGTCCACGGGCGAGACCACCCCTGCCTTGAACGGGAACCGCAGCAGGAAGTCTAGCTCCACTGGGTTCAGCTCCTTCTTCATGGACAGAACCTGTGGGAATATCAGGGGCACAAATGCTCAGGCTGTTGCCCTGGCAATGGGGAGGATGAGTGGGACAGCGCCCATTGCCCTAGAAATGAGGGCTCCCTCAGTCCCAGACTCCTTGTCTTGCTTCCTAGGGCTGACACAGACCATTCTGTCTTCATCTTGTCATTGAACCAAAAATTATTGGGGTAAAACATGCCTAAGTTAAATGGGCCGTTTAAACCATTTAAATGAGAGCAATGTAGCCATATATAATTTGGATGAGGAAGACGGCAAAACTAAACAGCAGGAAAAAAAAAAAAAAAAAGATAAGATCTAACACAGGATTACCAAACTTAGAAGATATTTCTCAACCAACCCACCTACTTCCATCGTCTTATCTTTCAAACTTTTATCTTTGGATTGCGTTAAAGTTTACAGAGCAGATAGCTTTCCATTTGACAACTCATAAACGTTTCGTTTTGTGTCATTGACTAGCAAGCCCCATATCTTTTCTTAAAGACTAGCATTTAAAAAAAAAAAAGTAGCAAATGTATATTTGAGAATAAGGATTTACAAATTCCTTTACATTAAAAGGCCTGCCTTAGCTATATGAAACTCATGATAATATCTTTTGAAAAAAAGAGTAGGAGATTAAAAGTAAAAATAAATAATTATAGCGAAGCAAAGTATATGATTTGTGGAATGTAAAATGGCTCATCTGCTTTGTAAACCTTCACTCAATTCACAATAAAAAGTTTTAAAGCAATGAAGCAAATAAAGTGAGCAGGTCAGCGGTATTTAGTACGTGCACAAGGTTATATAGCCGCTGCCTCCATTGAGTTCCAGAACATTCTCATCACCACAGAAGGGAAGTCCTGTACCCACCGGTGGTCTCCCCACAGCCCCCAGCCGGCATCAAGCTGTTTTGTCTCTGGACTCTCCTCTTGGACACATTTCGTAGTAACAGAACCACGTGGTCTTCTGTGGCGGCTCCTTTCTCCCAGCAGTGTTTTATCTGAGGGCTCTATCTGCCCTCCATTCTTGGACGATAGGCCCGTGTTGTGTTTGCCCATCACCTCTTGATTTGGGATGTTTCCAGCCCTATGCTATGGTGAGCAGAGCTGCTGGGGATGTTGGTGCATGAGTTTTTGTTTGAATACTTGTTCTCAATTCATTTGTGTCTATTCCTAGGAGTGGAATAAACTAAAAAACAATAAAAACCCAATAAAAACCCAAAAAGGCAATAAATGTAAATCTGCAGGGAACAGACCAAGCCAGAACTGCTGGGAGACCAGAAGACTCTTACTGAAAGAAAGACCTGCAGAAAAAAGGTGGACTGTCTGGCTGTTAGAATATCAAGCAAGCGGTTTGCTTTGTAGGCATCAAGGCAAGAAAAGTCAGCCCATTGGGAAAACCCCCCTTTTAAGTAAGACTGAAACTCAAAGGGAACCCTCGAGCAATCTAGTATCCTCACTGGTGCCCACCCTGGTCTACTTGTGAGTGGAAGTGGGGGATATGCAGCAATGAAGGCATGGGCCGAGTTCGGCCATGTTCCATTGGCACCCATTGACTTTGAGATGAGAGAAGAGGAAGGCCTGGCTGGTCTGAAGTTTAGGGAGATGAGTGTACTCCTAGGCCCATGGGCACTGACCTAGCCCCTGGGGGCTAGAGCTGAGTGTGAAGTGGCCAGCTGGTCTGAAGTGCAGGGAGGCTGTTGTGAATTCCCATCTGACCTAGCTTGGATGACGTTCCAACCAGAACTCGACCAGATGAAGATTCAGATTCTTGATACTGTGAGCAAGTGTAAATTGCTAAAATCTGATGAAATGACGGTTTACGGAGGCAGGTGTTCAAAATTCCAACTGGAATGGAAGTAGTCTTCACATCAAAGAACAAGCTTGCACTGGGCTCATGTTGTTGTTGTTGTTAGGTGCCACTGAGTCGATACTGACTCATAGTGACCCTACATACAACAGAACGACACACTGCCCAGTTCTGGGCCAACCTCACAATTGTTGCCATGCTTAAGCCCAATGAAGTTGCCCCTTTGCCAACCCATCTCTGTGGGGGTTCTTCCTTTTCTTCTTTAACCCTCCACCTTACCAGACGTGATAATTAGGGACGGGCAATATAGACACTGGCTATCAAAAAAGGAGGGTTATAAAGGCATGAAGTGGCTGGTTTACAAGCTTTCTTGAGTGTGCTTACTTTCAGAACGACGGGGATAAGGTAAAATCCTCGTGAATTGTCGTCATCTTTTCCAGTGGGTCTGGTGAAAGGCAGTGGGGGATGATGCCGATAGGATTTTATGATTCAGTTGTGAGTAATTGTTAACAGGATTAATAGTGATTGTCACAACTGCAATTGTAGAAGATGTGTAAATAGAAGGGGGGAGGAGTTAATTTCTCATTTCACAAACAGAGGAGCCTAAGACCATCAAGAATGAATAGCATGAGGACGGGGAGATCCTACCTAGAACAAGAGAGACAGTAGAGACGGTGGCATGGCTGAGGACTCCAGGCCCATGGACTACGAATGGCTGTGTGAACGGCTGTGTGCCGGCAGGCAAGAGGCTGGCTTGCAGAATGTCCCCTTTGGACATTTAAATGCATATATATATTATTTTGCATGTGTATATCAAATACTTTTGCTTTGTTCATTTGTGAACTATACAACATAAAAGGGAAGCCACAGGGAGGAAGCAGGATCACTGTTGTTGCAGGGAGGGGAGTGTAATCAGTGAGATGAAACCAAGCGTGTGATTGGGTGAGGGTAAAGCTGATGATCCTGTCTGTTGACCTTCACTCAATTCCAAATAAAAAGTTAAAAAAAAAAGTTTGCAGGGAAGCAGACAGCCTTATCGTTTTACCTTAGAGCTCACTGGTGGGTTTGAACTGCTCCTTTCAGTTAGCAGCCTAGCGCATAACCCACTCTGCCACCAGGGCCCCCTGTAGCAGGCACAGTCCTGGTCATTTTGAAGGGGCCATGTTGGGCAGCCTCGTCCAGCCTTCCTTCTTTCCCAGTCGGATGGCAGGGGGTAGGGCCATCGTCACTGCGGTCTCTTCAGTCAAGTACCTAAATGCTCTTTCTCAGACTTCGGGCAGCTTTTTTCCAAGGTGTTCTTTGGGTTTGAAAACACTGCTTTCTGTCCCAGGAAGCTAGGGGGAGCACCCAGGAACATTTACATCTAAATGACCTTCCCCAGGTGGAAAACTCTTATCTAACCTGTGATCTTCAGATGTACGTAGAAAGGAAACCTCATTAATTTTTTGTTAAGAGCTGTCAGTTCTGACTCATAGCGACCCCATATAGGGTTTCCAAGGAGCAGCTAGTGAGTTTGAACAGGCGACCTTGCGGTTCAACGCCACACCGAGGCTTACATTTTGTAGAATGCAAATGCAGGGGTTGTTTACGGTGACAGCTACAACAACAATCTTCAAATATTTCAGCAGGACTAAATACACAAGAACGAGGATTTTATTGTTGTTATTAAGTGCCCGCCAAGTTTGTTCTGAAGGAGCTCTGGCAGCACCGTCGTTACGAATCGGACTGCGAACCTTATGATCAGCAGTTCGAAACTACCAGCTGTTCCTCGGGAGAAAGATGAGGCTTTCTGCTCCCGTAAAGATTTACAGCCTCGGAAACCCTGTACAGGGTCACTATGAGTCAGAACCGACTCCACGGCACACCACCACCACCACCACCACAGGGCCCAGGGCCCACCAGCTTGTGGTGGGCGTGCTGCGCAGCCGGCCCTGGGCCTACAGTTCTGGCTCACCTGAAATGTGACTTGCGCCAGGAAGATGAGTTTGTCCCGCTCGAAGAGGCCGCGGGCGGTGTACATGTAGACCGAGTAGGTGATCTCGTCTGTGAGGTTCATGACCCGCTGCTTCACCTCGTCGGCTGGCATCGTCTTCTGGATGGCCATCTCAAACACCACGTTGAAGGCCTGGGGGCGGGCAGACTCGTCCCTTTGTCTCAGTTGGAGGGGAGGGTGTGGGACATGTCTGTTGTTGTTGTTAAGTACCATGGAGTTGGTTCCAACTCATAGTGACCCTGTACAGGGTTTCCGAGGCTGTAAATTTTTATGGGAGCAGAAAACCTCATTTTTCTCCTGACGAATGGCTGGTAGTTTCAAACAGCCGACCTTGAGGTTAGCAGCCCCTGATTTGTAACCACTACCAGAGCTACCAGAGCTCCTTGGGGGCGGGGTGGTGGCAGTGGGTGAAAATAAATGGCTGGGACCACCCTGAAGACCAGTTGGACAGGTCTGGGGTCACCCTGGCTCTGTCTCCCCCAACTATTTGCCCACACAGGCTGGACCTGCGGTCGTGGACACCAGGTGTACCTTGAGTGAGAACTGGTAAATGGGGTTGATCTTGTTGAGGTCATTCAGGATGAAGTACAGCAGGGACGCTCTCTCGGCAGCCGGCCGGTAGTTTTCTCTAGCCTCGTTGATTTTAACTTCTGTGATTTTCGCCTCTTGGACCTTAAAACAAACCAAGGGAGCTTGGGTGGGTAGTGTCTGGGGTCCCACGGTCCGAAGACCTAAGCCAGACTGCTGGCAGGGGGTCCGTGACCCTTCTTGCCACCCCCTCAGAGCCCTTCCCGGTCCATGGGCAGCGTGCCTGACCTTTTCCTCGATCTCACTGGCTGTGTGTTTTGTGGTCTCCAGGTTCTCCACCAAGGCCGTGTCTCCCAGGAAGTTCCCGGAGGCAGCTGACAGACGGGCCAGCAGAGAGTCTTCCAGCTCCTTCAGGACAATCTTAAATTCGTTCTGAGACTTGGTGAGGTTTGCCTGTGGAGGTAGCAGAGACCAAGAGCCCAGAGTCAGCCAGGGCTGTGTTCTAGCCCTGGCAGTGGGTGCTGGGGGTTTCTCCATCAGGGGCGCATGCACACCTGGTCCAAGCCAGGGGTTTGGAAAGAGGGAAGTGATGCCAAACCTGGGCGCCATGGGATGTGCCCTACCCTGCCCCTGGGGTTCTCAAGATACGGGCCGGGGGGGATGTCACAGCTCTGGACTGGACTCTTTGGAGCCCATGAAAGAGCAACAGGAAGTCCCGGTGCACAGGGGCCACAAAGCACCCATCAGGCAACGGTACAGTGTTCAGAGCATATAACTGTGCAGGGGCAGTCATGGTTCAGGGGTAGAACTCTCCCCTTCCACACAGGAGACCCCGGTTCAATTCCTGACCAGTGCTTCCCCGCCTGTCAGTGCAGGCTTATGTGCTACCGTCCTTCCAGACTAAGAGGGACTTGACCAGAAGGTCCAGCAATCTGCTTCCAAAACCAATCAGTGGAAGCCCTGTGTGTCCCAGGGGTCCCACCCTCAGCGTGTCATGGGGACGGTGCACACGAGTTGGCAGTGACAACAACAACAAAGATGAGCTGCTGCCACTCCTGGTCTTTCCACAAAGTGGTCGTTTCCTTCAGAGTTACATGTGGGAGCTGGGCCACAAGGAGAGAAGGAATGACTTGCTTCGTAGCCATAAAGATACAGTTCGGTGTGAAAAGCCAAAATGGTCTGAGAGAGAAGCGACGGGACACGTCTGCTTGGAGGCTCCGGGCAAGGGACCTCACATGCCCCTGGCGGCTCCCAACACACCATTGCCAACATGAGGTCCCCTTACCTTCAGCTGCTCTAGGTCTGGCCGCTCTTTGGCCACCACAGCGGCCAGGAGCTGGTCTTCGAGTCCATCCCTGGTTACCAGGAAGTTGATCAACGTGCACTGAGCCTGCATCTCGGGCTTGTAGTGCGGGTTGAAGTACTTGGTGTGCAGGATCAGGCGGAATTTGGGATGGTACTCCACCTCCTTGTCACCTATCTTAATGAACCTGGCGGCAAGTGGGGGAGAGGGTCACCAGGGCACACGCCGCCAAGCACCTGGGCCGGCCGAGACTGCTGTCCCCGGCACCGTTCACGTAATCGTCAGGGACGCCTGTGCCTCTCTCTGTTCGATGCACAGGTCCTTATAGACGGCATGCTAGCTCTTCTGTTTCAAGGCTAGTTCTTATGTTTGTACAAGTGGTGTCTCAATCTGGCTGTAGGTTCTACTCACTGGGAGCTTGTATAGACACACTTTTCTAGAACCCACTGATATCAGAAATCCCTAATTATCAATTCTGAATGTCAGAATGTTCTGGAACCACACCGTGGGATGATTCTGATGAACATCCGAGGCTGGAAAGCCCTGGCCCAGGGATGCCCATGTACCCATTCAGCAGGGACTCCCTGGTCCCTCCTCCACTCCCCACCCGAGCCCAACTACTCCCAATAAATCTGCCGTCTATGTCTATGGATTTGCCAAATATTCTGAATATTTCGTATCAGTGCAGCCATCCTGATACGTCGTCTGTGTCTGCTTTGTTCCACCAAGCACCCTATTTTCAAGGTTACTCCACAATGTGGCAGCCATCAATTTCATCCTTTTTTATGGCTACATAATATTCCACTGGAGTCCTGGTGTAGTGCTGCAGGATAAGCACTGGATGCTAACCGAAACATCGGCTGTTCAAACCACCAGTCGCTCCTTGAAAACCCTCCAGGGTCGCTATGAGTCAGAACCAACTCAACAGCACTTATCAACAATAACAACATTGCATTGTATGAAACCATGTTGTCAAAGAGTCAATTCTAAGTCATAAAGACCCTGTAGGACACACTATGGGGCAGTTATACTCTGTCGTCCTATAGGGATGCTGTGAGTCAGAATTGACTCCAAGACGGTTCAGTTTTATCTAGAGGTATTCTTCTGTGGGATGGGGCCCCATGGTTTCCAGTCTGCCCTTGGGAGGCTGGAGGTCCCTTCAGAGCAGTATTTTCCAGAAACCCCTCCTACTCACCGGAAGAGCAGAGGAAACCCCCACAACCCTCCCGAGATGTTGACCTGGACAGACATGGCGGACGTGCAAGCCACCCCTCACCTTCCCTTTTTGATGGTATTCCGGCCCAGCAGAGGATCCAGCACTGGGTCCACGGTTTCACCGATGTTCTCGATGAGCAAGGCGTCTCCTTCCGAAATGGCTTGCTCAATGACGTCCAGGTAACTGTGGCACATATGTGTGTGTGCGTGAAAGGGGGTTTCACAAGTTCACGAAAAAGTGGAATGAAAAGATAATGGTGTTTTACCATGAAATGTTTCAGAGTATATGATAATATATACTTGGTGGTGCGGTGTTATAGGATAAGCACCGGACTGTGAACCACAAGGTTAGCAATTCAAATCCACCAGCCACTCCTCGGAAACCTTATACAGATCTCTATGGGTCAGAACCGTATACATATGGAGTCCTGGTGTGGTGCTGTGGGTTAATGCACCAGACTGCAAAGCCGTTTGAACTGCAAGGTCAGCCGTTCAAGCTCACCAACTGCTCCTCGAAAACCCTGTACAGGGTCGCTATGGGTCGGAACCGACTCGACGGCACTTAACAACAACAACAACATAAATATATAGCGACCCTGTACAGGGTTTCCAAGGCTGTAAATCTTTACAGGAGCAGAAAGCCTCATCTTTCTCCCGTGGAACAACAGCTGGTAGTTTCAAACCGCTGACCTTGCGGTTCACAGCCCGATTCGTAACCACTATGTTACCAGAGCTCCATATATGTATATGTATATGGAGTGTGGTGGCTGCATGTGATAAGCACCAGACTGCCAAACACAAGGTTGACGGTTCGAGCCCACTAGCTGCTCCGCTGGAGAAAGAGGCTTTCGTTCATGCCACGGTGTACAGCCTCAGAAATCCCATACAGGGTCCCTATAAGTCAGAGCCGACTCAACAACACTTAAAAACAACAACAAATATATATACATTGCTTTAACCATATACGTTACTCCATATATTTTAAATATATGGTAAAAAGTCTGACAAGGAGTAAATTATAGTAGAATTGAAAAATAAATCTAAAGCCCAAAAGAGCTCATTTTAATTCTATTACTCCTGGCATCCTCCCCAAGATCAAGTATGAAAAGAAGTGCCTGGCCATGGGCTGGTAAGCATTAGCGTGCACAGAGCCTCCGTCCATTTAATTAATATGACACGCTGGAAGCGTGTCCTAAGGCAGAGGGCCGTCCCGCCCACGGGCTTCTCTCTGGGCCCACGCACCTCTTCTGTCCCAGGCGGATGGCTTTCAGGTCACCCCCGTACTTATTCTTGATCCATTTGACCCCCTGCAGCTGGGCGTCCACGATGAGGGGCCAGCGCTCCGTGTTGCACAGGATGGTGGCGTTCTCTGTGGACATGCGGTCACTGGGGAGGCCCTGGTTGTTCCAGGTGGCCACATCAGCATCATCTGTTAGCAGAGTCAAGGGGTCCAGACCTTCGGTGATAGGGATGGGGACCTGCGGTGGAAAGCATGCTACCTTAGGAGGGTGAGGAAAACAGAGCTTCGGAGGCACCGTTGGCTCAGCTCCAAACAGGCCAGCCACCACCTGATCCCCAGATGGACGGAGCCTCAGTCATGGAGCGTGGTGTCACGTGGCCGCGGCCACGCTGCCCAACACCTCCCCTGGTTATTGGGGGTGACAAGCTCTTACCGTTAGCTTGTTTATGTAAGGGACCCAGAATTTCTCCATCAGCTCATTCCGGTATTTCTTGGTGAAGTAACCGACATAGGAGACAAAGGCTGAGATGAGCAGGACATCCCCACACAGGGTCACTCCCTGGGTCTTGAAGTTCTCCACGGATTCCGCCCAGCGGACGTTTTCTGACGCTAATCCCCCCACCAGCCTGCGAGGAGAGCACGAGGTCGGTGTGTGTGTGTACATGTGGGGAATTGGGGGGGATTTCGAGTGAGTGAGCAGGTTGGGTGGAATGACCAACAAGGCGCTCTCCAACCTTACAGACGTCTACAGATAGGCCTTTGGTGTTTTGAATCCTGCCTTGGCTCATCAGCAGCGAGGGCACCCAGGGTGGAACATGCCAGAAACACAGATAGGCCGAACTTGTTTAAGTGTGCTTCCGCGTGACTGCACTTTGCAGATATGCCTTCTTTAAACATTAAAGGTCTGGGCGATCCTGCACCGAGCATCTCCCCAAAAGTATGTGCTTTGTGTGCCTCTGGGTCAAGCAAGGTTTTGTTCCTCTAAGCACGCGGTGTATCACCCACATTTTTTTTATGTTGTTGTTGTTGTTAGGTGCCATGGAGTCGGTACTGACCCATAGCGACCCTATGCACAGCAGAACGAAACACCGCCCTATCCTGGGCCAACCTCACTACTGTTGCCACGCTTGAGTCCATCGATGCTGCCACTTGGCCAATCCATCTCGTTGGGGGTCTTCCTCTTTCTCTCTGACCCTCCACCTTACCAAATATGAGGTCCTTCTCCAGCGACTGACATCTTCCTTTATAGACACCGGCAAACCAAAGCATGTGCGCGACTCTTTCTACTGCGACATTCACTTTATCAGGGTGGTCTGGGGCCAGACACAGTACCCCCAAGGTCTGCCTGAAATGCTTTTGGAGACCCCTGGGAGCACTACATCCCCTCCCCCCACATCATGTGTACTGATTTCTCACCTACTCAGACACTTTCTGACTTTTCACCTGTGTGCCCAGTGCCCTATCTGAACACCATTGGGCAAATAAATGCTTTTGAGTGGAGGGAGGGAGCCATGGTGGCCACTGAACAGTGTGGCGTCCAGACAGCCACAGGGTTTCTAGTGGCTGAGTTTTCAGAAGCAGATTGCGAGGTCTTTTTTCCGAGGCACCATTGGGTAGACTGGTGTTAATTGCGCCACCCAGGGACTCCAGTGTTCTTGTAAGAGGAGGAATGGAAGCAGAGATTGGAGCGATGCAACCATAAGCCCAGGGCTGCGGGCAGCTGCCAGAAGCTGGGTGACAGGCCAGGACCACACTCTCCCTGAGAGCCTCGGAAGGAACCGATACACGTGTATTGTTGGAAACACCCAGTAGCCCCAGTAAACTAGCCCAGTGCTCAACAATCTAAAGCCACCATGTTGCTGCAAGAACCAGGGGGTGAGGGGACTTCATCCAGAGTTCCTCCAAAGGTTGGCAGCCCCCTGTAATCTTCACCTGGGTCTTCACAGTGTCTCCCTGTGCCCCTCCCGGGTGATTCAACAGAGGGGCTGAGGTGGGGAGGGGCTGAGGTGGGGAGGGTCCGAGGGGGGAGGGTCCGAGGGGGCGGGTCCGAGGGGGGGAAGGTCCGAGGAGGGGAGGGGCTACCTGTTGGCCAGCGAGATCACTCTGTTGGTGGCATCCGCCTCTTGCTGACACTTGATTTTTTCAGCTGTCGCTTTCTCAAATGCTGATGTAAGGTTGCTCAGGTTGGCATTGAGTTCCTGGAAAAGTAACAGAGTGGAAAAGCCCTGAAATGGAGTCACGCCTGCTAACCACAAGGTCAGCGGTTCGAACCTTCCGCCCTATTGGAGAACGATGAGGCTGTTTGCCGCCATAATGATCAGCAGTTTCCGAAACCCTAAGGGGTGGCTCTGCTCTGTCCTAGAGGGTCACTAGGAGTCGGAATTGACTCGGTGGCAGTGGGTTTTCATGCGTTAAGGGTTTCCCTGGAGGTGAGAGCAGGGAGGTCCCCTGCTGAGTGCAGACCACATGGGCACAGAGGCCTCCGGCCACCCTGGGGACCCTCCAGCGTCAGCGTCCTCACACTTACGGCGATTTTGTTCTTGATCCGGGAGAGCTTCTCCTGAGCCTCAGCCAGCTCCGCGTTGGCCTCCTCCAGGGCCTGCCTCTTGGGGGTCACGTCACAGTAGACCTCATAGAAGCGGACAATGTTGATGCACCAGGAACACAGGCCTGCGGCGGCCGTGGACTTGGAGCGGATGAACTCGGGGTCGAAGGTGGGGTTGCCTTGGTAGGGTCTGCAGGGGGGGCGAGGTAAGGGGCTGGGTAAGTCTCGGCCAGGACTCTGCAGTCCTCAGTGGTAACTCTACTCAGTGATACAACAACAAAGACAAGGGAGCGTTGAGTTCCCGTTGGTTCTAATTCTTGTTTGCTGTCTTAGCGACCTGTCTGTCGGCGAGGGGGGGCGTGGGGGGGGGGGGACTTGTGTGGCCACAGGTGTATCTACTGGGGGGGAAATGGCAGGCACTGAAATCACACCCCTGTCCAGACACCGGACCCCATCAGCTCAAAACCACAAGTCAAACTCGTCCATCTTTGGCTGAACACATGAAGACAATGCCTGCAACTTCCTGGTTTTCAGGGGTGAAAATGGGTCCATGGGCTCATTGCTCTCTTCTGGGCAAGGTCACTCCGTCCGCCCTGACCCACAGTAACAAAACCCACTGCCATCGAGTTGGAACCGGCTCACAGAGACCCTACGGAACAGAGCGGAACTGCCTCCGAGGTGTACCTCTTAAAGATAATTCTATCTTTCTCCCTTGGAGGGGGCTGCTGGGTTCAAACCGCCAACCTTTGTGCTAACAGCTCCACTGTGCCCTCAGATTTTCCTTAATCCATGTTGTTATTGTTGTTGTTGTTACCAAGTGTCCTCGAGTTGGTTCCGTCTCAGAGAAACCCTGTGTGTCCAAGGAGTGGCTGATGGGTTTGAACTGCTGACTTTGTGGTTAGCTGTCCAGTGCTAATCCTACAGCGCCACACCCTGGTCCATGGAGGCTCACAAATACAAAAACTCAGTTAGAACTTGAATGCTCTTTCACAGTCCGAGATGGACACTGCTGTGATTCATGGGAGCTGCTCAGTGGTGCCCTCTCCCTCAGGTTGGACAGGCAGTGTCCAAGGCCACACCTGTCCCACTTTAGATCCGCCTCTGTGTGTTGCTATGGTGCTGAATAAGTTTCAGACTAAGAGGGACAAGGAAGAAAAGCCTGGTGATCTGCTTCTGAAAAGCAACCATTGAAAACCGTACGAATCACACAAGATTGCAATCTGCACCCTAGCGTGGGGATGGACCGGGCGTCTCTCTCTCTGAGAGTCTGGGTCTGGCTCAAGAACAGTTAACAACAACACAAACAGGGCAACAAGAAAACACCAAACACGGGTCGGGTGTGAAGGAGAATGGAAAGCGATGACTAAGGACAAGATTCGCGGACAAGGAAGAAAACCAGTAGTTTTTGTCCTCTCTGTGGAAGAGCACGGTGGGCCCATAGGCTAAGCACTGGACTGTGAACCACAAGGTCCGTGGTTCTAGCCCACCAGCCACTCTGAGGGAGAAAGATGAGGTTTCTACTTCCACAAAGATGTCCAGCCTCGGAAATCCTGTATAGGATTGCTATTAGTTGGGACTGTCTCAATGGCACTTAACAATAACAACAGTGCTCCTGGTAGGCGATGGAGCCACCACAGGATAAGTGCTGGGCTGCTAATCATAAGGTTGGTGGTTTGAGCCCACTAGCCTCTTCCAGGGCGAAAGTTGAGGCTTTCTGCTCCCACAAAGATTTACAGTCTTAAAATCAACTCGATGGCAGCGAGAATGAATGAGCGATGACCCTGGTGGTGCCGTGGTTTAAGTGCTCAGCTGTGAACTCAAAGGTTAGTGGTTTGAACCCCACAGCGGCAGCTCAGGAGGAAACTACAGGCGGCCTTGTTTCCATGAAGACTTCAGTCCTGGAAGCCCTATGGGAAGCTCTGCTCTATACTATGTGGTCACCAGGCACCAGCAAGGGTTAACGTCTACATCAGCAGGCTCTCTTTAACATGGCCTCATCTAGTTCCCATGTTGAGGTTTCTGAGGAAGAAGGATTCGATCTCAAGGCTGTACCAAAGAGATTTTGCTTGTCTTTCCAGTCTGTCTCCTGACCTAGTGATTTGGGACTTGATCTTTCCCCACCCCCTATTGTATAAGCTTTCTAGCCAAGACCCTGCCCCGGCCCAGGCAGCATGGGGGCTCCCTGTTCCCACGGGGAGGACTGGGGACCATGTTCGGCCAGACGTACTTAAACGCCTTCAGACAGGCTTCAGGGATGTGCTCCTTGTCGAACTTCTTCAGTGAGTCCAGGAAGGTGTCCACTTTGCCCATCATGATTTTGGCCGCCTTCCAGCTCTTGTCCTTGGGAATCTTGCCCCCAGGAGCGGTCAGAATCATAACAGCAGCTGTGACATTGACCACAGCGTCGGGAGGGGACCCGAAGGACTTCAGTTCTGTCAGGTTGTTCTGCAAACACAAGTGATGGGTCTGGGGGCCTGGGGGCCTCAGGGGCAGTCTGACCCTGAGCCACCCATGGAAAGTGAAGCTCGGCCCCCTGCCCACCCGGTGTTCGCCGCTCTACCTTGTTCAGTGTGTCCAGGGCCTCTTGGGCGGCCAGCAGGGCCGGCTCTGCTTTGGCTAGGTCTGTCTCGCAGGCTTTCTGCTTCTCAGTGACATTCTGGGGTGGGGTCGGAGCAGGGGGTTCAATCCAGGCTCCTCCCCTGGGGGGACCACCCCACCCTCAGGCAGCCGCCGAGGGCCAGTGTGTCAGGAACTCCTGGGCAGTTGCCTCATCCCCTCCAGCCCGGCTTCCCTTGGTGCATAACCCCCGCCTCCTGGCCCAGCATCCTCAGTGCTCAGCTCAGGGCAGCAGACCTGGGATTCTGATACAAGACCAGTGCCTCCCTGAAGGGGACCCAGGGGCCATCCCAGAGTGTGGCTCTTCTTGTGTTCCACTCCCTCACCAGAAGGAGGCCATCCTCATCCATCTGTTCATACAGGCACACATATGTCCATTCACTCATGTGTGCATGCATGTTCATTCATTCACAAGACAGGTGTCCATCCATTCATGCAGACACACATCCATTCATGCATGCGCACATGTTCATACCTGCAGGCAGGCCTTCATTCATTCATGTGTGCATACGTTCATTCATTCATGTGTGCACACATATTCAACCATTCATTCATACAGGCATGCCTTCATTCATTCAGGCATCCAACACACAGATTCATTCATGCATGCATGTACACATGTTCATTCATCCATTCCTTCAGGCATTCCTTCATTCATGTATGCACACATGTGCTCATCCATTCATTCATGCATATACACGTTTGTTTATGTGTGCACACATGTTCATGTATGCATGCATATGTTAATCCATTAGTGTGTGCACACATAGTCACTCATTCATGCAGGCATGTATTCATTCATGCAGGCATGCCTAAATTCATTCATTCATGCACACACATGTTCATTCATGCAGGTATGCACAAATGTTCATTCATTCACTCATGCAGGCATGTGTTAATTCATTCAGGCATAGATTTGTTCATTCCTTCATGAAGGCATACACTCATTCGTGCATGCATACGTTCATTCTTCAGTTCATAATTCACTCATTCATTATGCATGCATGCACATTCATTCATTTGTACACACATCCATCCCTTCATCCGTGCATTATGCATTCATTCCTTTGTGCATGCATGCATCCACTCATACATTCATTTGTTCATTATGGACACATGCATTGGTTAATCTCTGCACATACTTGCATATTCATTCACTCATGCACTCACTCACCATGCACGCATGCACGCATTTGCTCCTTTTTGTATACATTCGCTCATACATTCTGATGGTGAGACAGAAGGAGAGCAGGGTGGGATGATTAGAAACCAAACCAGTCGAGACATGGGCCTTCACATGCCTTTCTGTCCTCTGGTCCTCAAGCTCTGCCATAGACCAACACCAGCTGGAGTCTTTACAATGAATGGCCCTGGACTTCTAGGTCGGTGGTCCCTGGGGAGCTTTGTCTGAGGACCCCAGCATGCAGACAGACCACTGGACCTATTGCTACAAGGCAGCCCTGACGGTCACCAGGTGCTGCAAATGGTTTGTGCTCAGGTGGTCACCACACTGGACTATGAACCACAAGGTCAGCAGTTGCAACCCACCAGCTGCTCTTTGGAGACCCTATACTGAGATGGAACCGATTCTATGGCACTTAACAACAACAACAATGGCATCCCAAGGAAACGGGCCCAGGGATCTGCTTCTGTGAAGACTGGCGGTCTTGGTGCTGTGAAGCCAATTCTGATGCACAGCAAATCTCCACACGACAGAGTAGCACTGCCCCGTGGGGTTTCCCAGACTGTGAAGAGTTACAGAAACAGATGGCCACCTCCTTCTCCCCAGGAGAAACCAACTTCTCGGTTAGCCACCTTGCTTAATCAGTGCGTCTCCAAGGCTCCTTCCAGAAAGAGCGGCTCTCCTCCATGTAATGCAGGGGTCTCGAACATCACAAACCCACAAATAAAAGGCTGTTCTGATTCAGCAGACCTGGGCTGGGCCTGAGAGCCTGCATGTCTCCCAAGTCCACCACTGGTCGGTCTGGGCTGTCTCTAAAGGGCAACCTCGCTGAGCTGGGGTAGTGGCTCTGGCTGAGGAGTACCTTGTTGATGACCTCAACCTTGATCTCCTCCTCATCCGCGATGGCTTTCTCCTTGCTGACCTTCTCGGTCTCCACACCCACCACTTGGATCAGCTTGTCTGCATTCTCATTTTTCTGCTTGAGCTCCGTCTCTTGCACTGCCAGCTTGGCTTTCAAGTCGTCCACCTGGGTGGGGACGGGGGTGGAAATGGGAGAGTAGAGCTCCAGTCTTTCCCGTTGAGTGGAGGCACGCATTTATTGGGCACCGACTGTGTACACAGGGCTCCAAGAAATTATCTGGCACTCAAGGAGCTGGCCACTGAATTGTCCAGAACAGACAAAGCAACCCAGAGACAGAACTGAGGGACTCTGGGAGGGGCTAAGGGCCTTGTGAGGTGTTTTCTGGTGGCGCCATGTGGGGTCCCCATCTGGGTGAGGGGAGGAGTGATGGAAGTATTCAATGATATTTCCTGTTTGGAGCCTTGGTGGTGCAACACTTAAGTACTCGACTGTTAATCAAAAGGTCCGTGGTTTGAATCCACCCCTTGGGAGAAAGAGTTGGAAATCTGCTCCAGTAAAGATGGTGGTGGTGGTGTGCCGTCAGGTCGGTTCTGACTCAGAGCAACCCTGGAGAGGGGTTCTGAGGTTGTAAAGCTTTATGGGTACAGAAAGCCTCACCTTTCTCCCATGGAACAGCTGGTAGATTCAAACTGACCTTGTGGTTAGCAGCCCAGCTTGCAATCCTCTATGCTACCATGAAGACGACAGCCTAGGACATCCTGTGGGCCTGTTCTACTCGGCCACACAGGGTCACCATGAGTCAGAACCAACTGACCACAACTGTGTGGCAAGCCATAGCGGCCTCTCTGCCCCTTGACTCACCCTGTACTCCAGGAGGGTGTGTGGAAGCAGTTGGGCACATTCAGCAGACAGGGACCACCCCTGGGGCTGGACTCAGCCTTCAGGCTTCACTTTGGAGCCAGTTGATGAGGATGGGGGAGGGCCAGTCCCTGGCTCCTCCTAGCTCTGGGTTTGCCAGCCCTTCCTTCATTTTCCCCTAGGTAAGGGGTGGGGTGGGGCTTCCTGGTCTGGCCTTGTGGTTCAGGCAGGTCAGCCCGTTAGGAGCAGAAAGACTACGTGCCATTCCTCAGCCTGTGTGGGAATAGTTTTGTGTTTTGTTAAGTGAACAAGGTCCACGAGGAGTAAGATGGATCCTAAACCTAGTCCCTTCTGAGTGGTGTCATCCAAGAAGAGGGACTGACTCAGCCCTGGGAAGACCATCTGAGAGCACGGGTTCGGCTGTAGACTACCACAGTAAAGCGAACATCCCAAGAACATGAGTCACATGATGTTGACACTCTACTGGGGTCTAGAATCCCGGTGCGGTGCTATAGGGTCAGCTGCAGACTGCTAAGCACAAAGTTGATGGTTCGAACCCATCGGCTGCTCCTTGGAAACCCTATCCAGGGTTGCTATGAGTCAGAACTGACTCACTCACAGCAATAGCACGATGAAAAAGTCTGAAATACTGCGGGAATGAACAACACGATCACAGAGACTCCAAGTGAGCACACGCTGTTGGAAAACTGCGCCAGGAGACGTGCTCACGCTGGGTGCCCATATCCTCTGTTGGGTAAAAGGCCGCAGTTATCTGTGAGACTCCATAGAGCGAGGAGCAGACTTGGTGAGGGGACGTGGAGAAACACCCAGGGCTGGTGACTTCCAGAGAAGCTTGGAGACCTGGGGGGGTCTTGCTCTAGAGTGGACCAATTGTGGCCCTGCTGACCGGCACTCCAGCCTCTAGAACAGTAGTGCAATGTATTCCTACCCTTGAACTTGCCCCATCCCTCGCCCCCATGTGTGGTGGTTTTGCTACGGTAGTCTCCGGGCATCACATGGTTCAGCTGGGGCTCTGCCAGAGCTGTGTTCAGTCCAACCCAGTCAACGTGTGCCCAACCTGTCGTCTAGGTTTACATATAACTCAGGCCAGGAAGAGGTGACTACTCACTGGCCCCCCTCAAAGTCGCCAGCCACCATTGAGAAAGACAAAGAAGCTGGGATGACGTTGTTGTTAAGTGCCATCGAGAAGGGTCTGATTCACAACAACCTTGTATAGGGTTTCCAAGGAGTGGCTGGTGGGTTTGAACTGCCGACCTTGTGGTTAGCAAGCAGTCCAGTGCTGTTCCTACTGCGCTGTACGAGGACTCCATTAGGGAGGCTATTTAAAGCCAGGCAGAAAACGTGGAAATCTGTATGTTGTGAAGCCAAGCGTCCCAGCAGGATGAATGGCATTTCAGAATTAACTTATTTTCCTGAAAGGAGACAGGACGCAGGGTGGGGTATGAGCCCCAGGTAACACACCTGGCACAGTTCCACATTATAAGGTGTGTGGGATCGTTTGTTACCCTAAAGCAGTGGTCTTGGCTCCCTAGTGCTAGTGTATCAGAGACACACCACAAGGGGGTGGTTTTCATGAATAAAAATGCACTTTCTCCCAGTGCAGTGTTGTTGATTCCGACCCATAGCGACCCTGTCTGTACAGGGTTTCCGAGGCTGTAAATCTTTACAGGAGCAGAAAGCCTTTCTCCCGTGGAATGGCTGGTAGTTTCGAACTGCTGACCTTAAGGTTCGCAGCCTGATTCGTAACCACTACGCTACTAGAGCTCCTAGCATTCGGAGGCTAGAAGTCCAAATTCAGGACACTGCTCTAGGGTAAGACTCTTTCTCTCTCTCTCTGTTGGTTCTGGGTCACTTCCTGGTTTCCTTGGCTGTCTCCAAATGGCATCTGTCTTTCTTCCTTTTGTGATTCTTTCTTTTCTACTCTGGTCTCTTTATATCTCAAAAGTCACTAGGTTTTAGAAGTTTAGGGTCATGATTTCTTAGGACTTTCCAGTTAATTAGCCTAATAATGCTTCTGTTACACCTCCTAGTTAGTTGTGTAGGACCTGGGTTCTTGCAAGTAGGCATCTAAGGGACAATAGGGCTCTATTCACTTGGAGCAACAGAGGAAGGAGAGCCAGGAATAGGAGGAGGCTATCAAATGTGTGTGGTGCTGTGGGTTAATGCACCAGACTGCAAAGCCATTTGAACTACAAGGTCGGCGGTTCAAACCCACCAGCCGCTACTCCCTACACAGGATCGCTATGGATCAGAACTGACTCCATGGCACTCAACAACAACACAACAAATGGAATGTGTGGCTCATTGTCTTTCTGAAACCAGACAAGCTAAGCAGTGCTCAGCTACCATCACTGAACATTTTGTTCAAAGATTCCAAGAATTCTGATCAAATGGTAGGAAATGCAGAACAGAATTTCAAATTCTCATGGACTCTAAGCTTTCTGGAACCCTTGAAACTATTGCCCTGAGAGCATCTTTAAAATTTAAACCAAGACTATCGCACGACGTCTTCTTGAAACTGAACAATAGATTAGCTTCACTAGTAAAACCTGCCTGCCTTGAGCGTGGTGCCCTCTTAAGAACGCTGTCTGTGGGGTCAAATTGACAAGAGCAACTCCAAAGGTCAGAGAGGAACCTCCAGGGGGCGGTGAGGATTTGTTAATGAGGGACCAACAGCTCATAGGAGGGTGAGGAAGGCTGCGCAGTTCAAAGAATGAAACCAGTGCTCCGTAGTGGTTACGAATCGGGCTGCGAACCTGAAGGTCAGCAGTTCGAAACTACCAGCCGCTCTGCGGGAGAAAGATGAGGCTTTCTGCTCCCGTAAAGATTTACAGCCTCAGAAACCCTGTACAGGGTCACTATGAGTCAGAACTGACTCCACGACACATAAAACAACAACATATATATATATAGTCACTGGGTTTAAAACACACCGACACCAATTTTGCCCAAGATAGCAAGGAATATCCTACTCTCAAATGGGGTGATATCCAAGGTATAGGGGTTGGGTTCCAAAACGTATTTTTTGGGTGGGGTCGGGGCACAACTCAGTCCCTGACAGCATGTATACCCTCTCCATTTGACTCAGGAGAGGAAGTTTCTAGAAGGTGGGACACTCATATTCATTTCATACTTTAGCTGTTTGCATGGAAACCCAGAAGGGGTACAGCATCCCCACAGAGGGGCTGCTGATGACAGGTGTAGGTCCCCACCCCCCCCAGCGCCCACAGCGCCCACGCCCACCTGGGAAGCTGTGCTCTGCAGCTTCATGAGGCCGTTCTCCAGCCGCTCGATCTTGGCGACCAGCTCCCTCCGCTTCCTGGCCAGCAGGCTCTGGTAGAGTTTGATCTGCTCCAGGAAGGTTTTGGGTGTGGTGTAGTTGTAGCGCCTCTCGGTGGCCAGGTACACTTTGGACATCTCGTTGACAGTCGTGTGCACGTAGGCCATGAAGAAACTGATGGAGCTCTTGACTTCTTGCTACAAAGACAGACAAACCAGTTCACCTGCCAGGATCTTGCCAACGCCAGCCCGTCCTGGCAGGGGGATCGCGAGAAGGAGTGCGTTCCCTGTCTCAGCCCTAAGTTTGTCCTCTGAAGCAGGGGCTCAGACAACAGTGTCCCCTGGGCGGAGCAACGCACAGTGGTGACACAGCTGTCTGATGGTCATGAACACACACCACAGTCATCACAGACACTGTCTCAAAGCCACCTTCACACACACACAACCACCCTCACACAGAGTCACCCTCACACA